ATAGCAAAGCATTTGATGATGCGAAAAGTATTGAAAGATGACACAAATTACTAATATGAAGTAAACTGAAAAAATAATATAAATAACGTAATTCTAAAGTTTAATCTGTTTACTCTAATTATATGTTAAAATTAATGATTTCCTCCATTGCATGGAACACTTACTGGAACAGTTCATGTATGATCAAAGTGTTAATTTTATGTGTTAAAATTAATGATTTTCTCCATTGCATGGAACACTTACTGGAACAGTTCATGTATGATCAAAGTGTTAATTTTATATGTTAAAATTGATGATTTCCTCCATTGCATGGAACACTTACTGGAACAGTTCATGTATGATCAAAGTGTTAATTTTATATGTTAAAATTAATGATTTCTCCATTGCATGGAACACTTACTGGAACAGTTCATGTATGATCAAAGTGTTCATTTTACACAACATGTTACATAATACACATTATTTATGTGGCTTTTTTACATGCCGATAACAGTTAAGGGTGTTAATACCCTTAATATTTTAATACCAATACTCCTTTTACCATGAAAATGTCAGGAATGAGTAAATGAGTTTGTTTATATTTTTGTATCACAAATGTTACAAGACTATTTAAAACATAAATTATACTTTATACAAGTTAATTAAATGATAAATACAATACATATAAATGTCTTTCCCCTCCACTCAGAATTAAAAATCTATAAACAAAGGTTTTTTAACTATTTGTTATATACCTTGAACTAAATATCAAGAAAACATAGGATGAAAACTGTATAACAAATTACATTTCTATATACTACCAGAAATGTTGCCCTATGAGCAGCTGTTTATGCTAGTAATTACTAATTGTAATATTCATATCTCATTGAAAAAGAATTTAGAAAAAAGTGAACATTTTCTAAAAAAAAAGAAGGATTTTTTTCTGGGAAGTACTGCATGGGAAAAGTGTTTGAATTGTGCTCTTTAGTCACACGCAGCTCATTGCTTCAAAATGATTCAAAAGTTTCATAAATTTTATTGATATAAATTGTAATGTTTTTATATATTAGAAGTGGTACCATTTACTGGAAAAATTATACTTTTTTTTAAGAACTCCAGTTTCTTAGTACTACATTAAAAAATTACATCAATAAAAATATAATCAAACCCTCACGTACAGTCCTAGTGAAATTCGTGTTCTTGTTGTGAGGAGAGTAATCTTATTTATAAAGAAATGGTTGTGCACATACCACAGTTATTTTTCTAATTGTCTGAGTCTTGAATTTGTGGTGCCATTCAATAGATGGCAACAGGAGTTTTGGTTACATACATAGAGACTGACATACATGCTGCATCCATTATAGTAAGATATGCAAAATAAACTCTTCTACATTTTAATAACTTGTTCCATTATTACTTATACACAATATAATTCTCACACATTTGTTAGAAAATATTTTCTTGATTGTTTTTGAGTTTACTTGCTTTTATATAATAGATTTTACAAATTTAAAATAAAGAATTTATATGTTCATTGGTGCTTGTTAACTACTGCCCTTGTAAATTGGGTACAATGCTAGAAGGTTTATATTTTTGTTTCAAGACATGAAGTGTCATATTAATTTAATAACAATAGCTTCCTTCTTGGTGTTTACTGATGAACAGTGGCCTAAAAACTGACTAATGGCACAATGAGTTCTTAGTTAAAAAGTAAAAAAGTTCAATGCTGCTCCAAATTTTTAGAAAGCAACAGTTTTATATATTTAAAAGTCTCAAAATTGGAAAATTGAAATGACAGTAGTTTATTTCTGTTAAGCATAAAATTGTTTTCCTTTTTCAATCAAAACAAAACAAATATTAAAATTATAGCTAATGTGAATTTGTGATTTATCAAAGTAAGGATTGCTACATTATAAATAAAGCACAACAGTGCATCAACATGTGTATTATGATACCACTCATTAGATAAATGTAGTTGTGGACTGCTAAACTTTCTGTGAAATGAAGAACATTTGAGTAATAGTAGTTAATTTTTGCATGCTTAAAGATTAACAAGACAATAGTTTCCACAATAAGTAAAGTTCATATCACGTATTAAACCTGTAAGAAATCACAGTAGAACATAAGATAATACTGAATTTCAACTCACATTTGTGTTATACAATCGTTGGATAAATCTTGGAGGTATGTGTGCAGCAATGTCTGCTTTCCCTTTAAGTCTTGCCTCACCTAATGAATTTGTCAATTGGCATTCATAAACCCCACTATGCTGTGGTTTACACCTCCTAATTTCAAGCATAGCCTAAAGTATAAAGAAAAAGATATGTGTGTGTGTGTGTGT